CATCATGGCAGCCCCGCCCCACCACCACCACCGCACTGAAATTGGCAAAACGGAAGCGTAAGGAGGTTCTTAAAGAGACAGAGGCCAATTTCAAGACGTTTAGAAGAGGAAGTGATGAGAAGATAAGTTTATTTTCTATTTAAACATAAAAACAGCGTTTTAATAACAGCTAAAGGTGACATAGATACTTTATTATTGTATAATATTTAAATGCATGCCTGAGAAACACGTAATACTGGCCCTTTAAATAAATGATTAAAGCAAATTTTAAGGATAAACAAATCAAAAAATTTATATTAACACTAGGATAAGGTTGGAAAATTACAGGAAATTTCCATGTTGGAAACTTTCTGTAGGAAATAACAGATTTATGAGAATATGACTGGGCTTTAACTTTTTAAAAGTTGTCCCTTAACAGGGGTTTTAAGTAGTTGTAGAAAATCTCTCTTAGCAAAGTCTTGACTGAAACAACCAGATTTCATTGCAGTACCATGCGATGGGATGTAGCACACCCTAAAAATAATGTCACCTGGACTGGTGGAGACACGGGGAAAAAAGTTTAGTAAAAAAGTTTAACACAAGTTCAGAGTAAACTGCTTTGCTGTGAAGCGCCATTTACTGAATTTGTTTTTATTTAGATGAAAATGGTGAAAAAGTCAAATTATCAAATAGTAGTAGTGTGTTTTGGTGAAGGGAAAYGAGAACTGAGTGGAAGTGCGTAGCAAGGCAAGGGCCAGGCTAGCAGTAGGGCTGCCACAAACGATTATTTTAATAATCGATTAATCACCTATTATTTATTCGATTAGTCGACTAATCGGATCATACGTTAATTGAATATAAAACATACAGCTTATCACGTCAGAATGCAGCTGCTATTGTTTAACCATCGTTAGATTTTAGCTATATGCTAACTAAAAATAATTTCTGTGGAAGGCAAGWTCTGCTCTGCAGATATTACACAGGTTTCTCTTTCATTTTCTTAAAATGATCCCACACTTTTGAGCTCCGTTGCTGGGTAGCCATGGTACCAGAGCCTGTCTGTGGCTGTGTCTCAATTCATGGGCTGGGTCCTCATGAGGACCCAGTCTAGCTGGGCCACATAGGCCACATGCTTGCTGGGCCGAGTAGGATGCTCAAAACTGCCGCTAAATGAGAGGTCTAGCCTTCGCCTGACGTTGGCTTCACGTGGGTTTGCGTGACCAGTGCTCCCCCGTTACCATAGTGATCAGTTTCATGTCAGACTTAAAATGCTTCGGGACGTGTTTACACATCTTTTTACTGGAAGAATAAATTCACAGTTAAACAGGTAAACGTAAATAAAGAAAACAATAATTTGGATTTATCTCCAGTATCTACAACAGAGTATTAGGACCACACATATTTTTTATTATTATTACGAAAATAAAGTCATAATATGCGAATAAAGTTGTAATATTATGAGAATAAAGTCAGTGCTTGGTGACCTTAAGAATGCTGGAACAATTTATTCATTTAGTATAATGCTTAAAAGTTTTTTAATGAGATATGAACAAAGATTTGGTTGATATTTGTATTTTTGTTGTGAAGTTATTTTAAATTATATTGTGTATTAAGTTGAGTTTTATTATTTGTATGTTGTGCGTTTTTTAGACACATATTTTTTATTGGGGCAAATGTTTTAAGATTTTATTCTTTCTGCTCCTTTTCATTTGAATATGTTGTGATCGTGTTTTTTTGACACAACATTGTCTAATTATTTGTTTGTTTCTATTATTTGTTTTTTCTTTTATTTATTTATTGTTATTTGTTTGCTGAATTAAATAAAGTTATTTTTCCCTTCATACCTTCTGTGAACAGCCAGGTGTTTCTCTGTGTTTATAAAGTAGTCCGTGATGACCTGGATCACTGTTAGATTAATGAGCTTTCTTCCAAATTAACTACATGATGACTAAATCTGTCAATGCATCTATTAATTACAATACAGCTTCAGTTTATCATATAGTCGTTTACACAATTTCCATGTCCTGCTACTGATAATTGGGTGCTAAAATAACTATTTATTTATAAACAATAAAGAAHAACTTGACAACATCCTCATTTTAATGCAGTGATGACTGCATGCTTTTTCACGTAACGGCTAGGATATTAAGACTTTTCTCTTGTAGTATGACTTTAATCTCGTAATATTACGATTTTTATTCTCATAATATGACTTTATTCTTGTAACGTTATGATTTTATCTTATACTTTATTCTCGTAACTTGTAGTTGCATTTTCTTTTATTTAACATCTTATTGCAGCATAAACTTACTTTTAAAAAACAAATCCTTCGGTCCGTGGTGAATTTCCAAACTGCGCCGACACGTTAAAAAAATAAAAACACCACCGTCTTCATTTCTCAGATCATTTTGCTGCCCGCGCATTGAATCCTGGGATATCCTCGGCTGGTAAGGATACATGGATGCATCCTCGGATTTCGACAGGAAGTAGGACGCATTCCTCGGCCGCATGATGAGGAGCCTTCGAATTGGGACAGTCCTCCGCGCGGGGCAATGACGTATGCGGCCGACAAATGCGCACTCATGAGGACCCAGCCCCTGAATTGAGACACAGCCTGTATCATGTCTTGTGACGTCCACGGCCTACCCCAGTTACCACTACTGTGCATGTGTGTCAAGGACAGAAAGGCAGATGTGGCAGTGGAAGGTGTCAAAGCAGTTTGGAGAGAAAAACAAAGTAAAGAACAACAACAAAAAAAAGAAAACGATTAATCGATTATTAAATTAGTCATCAATTATTTTAATAATAGATTAGACGTCGATTAATCTATTAATCGTGGCAGCCCTAGCTAGCAGTGTGGAGGAAATCTGACTTTTCCTGTATATAAAATTTAAAATTTTCAATATTTCTGATCTAGGTAATTTACATATTTTACATATTTTTGCTTTGTTTTATGTGAATATGGACATAAAAATGAAATTTTTATCATGAACCATGAAAATATTCTTTAGGATTATGTACGTAAATAAACAAACAGTTACCCTAAATTTCCAGGTCATTCCCATACATTCCTATAAATTTCCAGCTTATGTTCCCCTGGAGTGAGTGGTCAAACTCTGATCACATTAAAAATAGATGAATGAATATTTCAGAGCTAAAAAATGTACAAAAGACATATTAGTCTGATTTCTTTTGACATGAACAACAAAAATGTTGCAAATCCGATTGACATCAATCTGTTCTCTAATGTGCATCAACAGAAAGAGACGAACAGGAATAATCCTGGTTCGCCACACGCTGATTAGAGAAAGAGATACTGATGAAGTCACCTGAGAAACTCTCCAACATGGACTGCAGACATTATTCCTGGAACAAACAACAACTGTGACTGTTCTGTTTTCTTTGTTAAATTGTAACCAGACMCTTTAGTCTCGCTGAAGGCTGTAGAAATTAATAATCACCTGCCACCAACGGCAGGAAGGTGCGCCTGACTTTGCATGTGTCCGCATGTGCATTAGTGTGTCGTCTGTTAACAAAATATGACATGAACCAGAGAATAGATCTGAATGGAAATTTCAGAGAATAATCATGTGATGCGCATCTACAAATGATTAGCTTTTAATGTCAGAAGATGGCAGTGGCAGCTCACAGTCTATCGCCAACACAAAAATGGCGTCAAGTCTGTCCATTCTGCAGATACTGAGTTGCAATGASTTGTGGTGGTAGCTGAGAGTCATCCCAAACACATAATCCAAGTGCTGTCTGATTGCATGGAGTCTGTTTTTAAAACTCTTCAATTAATTTTAGAAGTCAACTCTGTCTGTTAGGAAAATATTTCATGAATCACAAGGTGGAGTTCAGTGAAACTTTCAGATTGTCATCACTGAGTATCCATTTATAAATGATTAGCATCAGGAGTTCCCCCAATTCAAGATGACCGACTGAGCTTAGTCAACACTGGACAACACATAAACTTGCTCTCTACATCCCAGATGGAGCTAAAATGGAATGTGGTAGTAGCGCAGAGTCATCTTCGACAAACGCTCTGAGAGCCAACAYTTATCACAAAATCTCACAAAACATTTACAAGGTTTGACTACAACACTATCCTTTTATCAGAAGATGAGGGAGGCCCATTATATGCATTTGTTCAAGGAATGTTATTTTAATTTAAATTATTTTAGTTTACTTTATAAACCCAACAATCACCAGGTAAGGAAACTAGTTTTATTAGAATTTCCTGACACYCTATACTAGTTATCACTTATTTAACATGTTATGACAGAGTGTATTTCAGTTATTCCTCATGTCAGTCAATAAATAAATGACTAACTCTTTTATAATCTCACTTTATCAGTCAGGTTGGCATCTATTTTTAAAAGTAACAACTTTTGTCTTTTACAGCATTTAACACACAAAAGAAAAAAACGTTTCATTAAGCCTCCATAAGGTTTAACCTGTCCGTGCAGAGATTGAAACATGGTTAAAATAATGTTTTCAGAAACTGGTTTAAATCTAAAACCTGGTGTGTTTAACGCTTCTATATGAAACCAGATGAAAGCAAACAAAGCTTCCAGTTTATAAAAGCAGACTGTGGTTGTGTCGGAGAGTTGTCAGTGGGGGAAACTGTTAGCACCGTACAGTAAGAAACACATTACCGCGTCAGGTGAGACAAACTTACGTATCTGGCGGTGTTCGGCATCTTYAAGTCAACTGGGATCCGAAATACAGAAGTAAGTTTTTGTCACTTTGTCTCCCTTTATAAAAGTGCAGGGGAATAAAATAAAACTGGATATTGTTTGAAGTGAATCAAATGTTCTTCCTGTGGCGAGTCGAAGCGGAATGCCACACACCTGAAGCTGATGTTTCCGTCACACACCCAGGATTTAAGCCCCGCCCAAAATACCTGCTGAGCTCCGAATTTACCATCATACAGAAAAATAACTTTTTTTTTTTTAAATCTCATTCGGTGTCTTTAAGTGACCTCCCACCATAGTGGAAACTGTCATTCAGCTTCCTGCTTCAAGCAGGTTCAGTTAGACAGTTTCTTGTTATTTAGTTAAAAAAATGTCAACAAATACTTCCTGATATTCCCCTCACACGGGCACCCCCTACTGGTCATTTGTGAAACTGCAGACAAATGTCCCCAGCACTGTGGTATTTCAAAAAGTCAAAAACTTTATTGTCCGTCACAGATTCTAGTAASAGAAAATTGTCTTTGGTTTATGATAGAGGCTCAGACACATTAAAACACATGATAACACAAATCACACAAATCCCCCCCCTCCCCCCATACCACATAAATCACTTAAAACCTCACAAAATCATATTTTACATATAATCATCTGCAAATCTACAACTAATTTCCTTTATTTAAAAGGCTGGCTGCATTGAGAATAAAAGAATTAATTGAGTATGTGAATTCGTAAAAAATACTAATAATAAATTAAATATTGTTTTTACTATGTTYAAATAAGCAAAAACAGCATGAGCTTTATTAATATCCTACCTTTGTTTTCTATTAAGCTTTCAAAATTGTAAATTGGTTTTATTGTTTCCCTTAACACYATATTTGCAATAGATTTATTGTTGCAAGTGTATAATTTTATATTCAAAATCATATTTACACACATATAAACGTACACATTTATATACATATGAGCAAACACAGATACACTCATCTATATTTACATAAAAGCACATACATACACACGCACATTGTATGTTTTCATATATGCATGAATGTGTGCATACATATACCCACGTCACTCATTCTGGCAGCATAAGAAATGATTGAAATGTTTCCAAAAGTTCATTTATGTATCATATAATGAACACGATAATTTATGTGATGTCATGCTGGTAAAGTGTTGATTCATTACATTTATGTTTTCATTTGCTGACTGTGTTTAACTCCCACACATATTGGCAGATGTTTGTCAAAACATACGCTTGCCTAAAATAAAAGAACTGAGTCAGAACACAGCATACAATGATAAGGAATTTTGCTTGGTGAAAGATTTAATTAATTAATATTTATTTATTTATTTATTCATTCTGCAAAAGGTCCTTTTAACTCTGAGTGGTTCCTGTCCACGGCCCGGTCTTGCCTGCTCACTCAGCAGGTTGAACTTCACGGCATCATGAGCCTGACTGTGGAAACGAGCAGCGAGAACATCACAAGCAATTCCTAAAAAGAAGCCTCCTGTGCAAGWAATATGTTCTGTAAACGCAGTCTCACAGCGTGAACACGTTCACCTCATGTGAGGGGCGGAGCCAGGTGTTTATGCAAGGAACGTTTTGTCTTTTTCATGTGTAAATAAGCCTCAAGTTTCAGCTTTGAGGTTGGTTTTGACTCATTTTCCTGCAGCATATTTCTGAAAACTCCAGTTTGGTCAAATGAGAGTGCGATATGAATGAATGAATGAATGAATGAATGAATGAATGAATGAATGAATGAATGAATGAATGAATGAATGAATGAATGAATGAATGAAACATATGATTACTAATTATGTTTGAATATGTTCAACAGGCAGAAGGAAGTAGACATTTTCTCTTCCGTCCTCCATGACATTTATTTTGCACTGTGAACATCTTTTGTTGTGTTTGGCCTTATTTTGCTCCCAAAAAAAGTTTTCTAAGACATTTGCTGCCTTTTAAGACTTCTGAATTTGTGTCAGTAGCAGCTGCCTTTCTGTGACTCGGTATCAAACCCTGCTGTATTGATCAAGTGCTGTTTTGACAGTTTGTGGTTGTTTCTGTCTCATCGTGTAACTGCTCCAGTTTCTTCAAAGTGTTTGGACTTGACACACTTAAAACYTTTCGTTCTGGCCTGGATTTAAAGCAGATAAAGCTTCAGCAAAATTTTTAAAATAAAAATAATAATAATAAATAACACTTCTGTCACTTCCACTGAGTTCACCTGTAAGAAATCTTCTGGATCACAAACTTACAGGAGCTGCAGATARAGAAGATCACTTCCTCTCTGCTTCAGTTACAATAAAAAAAAATGTTGAAGCTATAAAAGGTTTTTATGATGGATGAATAGCTGTTTTGAGCATTGAGGCACATGTGTCAAACTCAAGGCCCGAGAGCCAACACGGGTCCTCGTAAACATTTTATCCGGCCCCAAAGGTATTACATTAAATGTAAAGTAGTTTTACGGTTTCCCTGCATTCTTCTCATTACAGCTGGACAACTATCAAGTCAAGAATATTTGTTTTGAACGTCTCAGATTTTGGGTTTGGTGTGAAAATCGCAACAGAAAAGAAACTTTGATATTTTCTGCATTTTCTTTTTATTTCAAAGCAAAAGAATAAAATTTTTATTGAGTGATATTTTTTGTTGGATTGAGATAAAGTGTATCAGTAAGACATAATAAATCAAACTGTTGATGATAGACAGTAAGGCATAAAAATGAATGCTATTGATGAGTCTTTATAAATGTAACCTTTTTTTATTTGTATGCGTGTTCTAAATCCTACATAAAATGTAACTTGGAAAAGGGAAATTGTATTTTCAAAAGAATAATTTGCTTTATAACTTTTTTTCTATAAATATTGACAGAAATTGGCCTTTGACCTGGATCAAACTTTGAATTTTGGCCCCGTCATATAACTAAGCTTGACACGCATGTTGTGAAAGACTTTCAGCTACCAACACACTTTGCTTGTTTTTTTTGCAAACTCCGAAAGATAATCATTTGTAAATGTGCATCCAATCAGTACTTTTCTGGAGCTTGAGTAAAATCCATTCTGTAGTTCATGASATATTTTGCTAAAGAGAGTTGACTATAACAAAAAGAAAAAAATTGTGTAGGTCTTCTGGACGGGTTCTTCTCTAATGAAACGTTTCGTCTCTCCTCCAAGAGACTTCTTCAGTCTGAGAGTTTCAGGCAAAATTCAGGCTTTTAAGCACTGCCTCCATGTGACTGATACTCACATCACATGGCTATCGTTCACACCTAATTAACACCTATTGTTAGCAGGGGTGGAGTGATACTGGCAATAGCAGCCCTGTAGGAGGGGGACAACTGAAAACGGAGGTTGGCTATAACYTTTAATGCAATGGTTCCCAAACATTTTTTTCTGTCTGACCCCCTTTTGGGTTATAAGAAGTTTTTAACGGAACTCAACATTTTTTGAACAACTGAACTAATAAAAGTAAATTTAAATGAATCACAGGTTGCAAAAATAATCTACAACATTTTTTAAAAAATAAAACAGCAAAATACCTTTACAGTCACTATTTTAAGTGTACCTGTTTTTTTTTTGTTTTACTTTTTCTTGTGTGACAACATTCAACATTGCTATCAATAAATCTCTCTTTCAAAAAATGCCTCTCTGTGCAAAATGGGMTTAAAAACGTGAACAACTTTCTCAGTGAAAAAAATGAAGGTTTGTTGTTTGAAAATGACACCTTTAATCCTTACATCTTTGTGAGCCTAGTCAAAAACCTGACTATTTTGTTGTTGTCTTTAGCATTTATGTTTTCATTCAGTAAAGATTATGTGTAATGACTCTAAGCAATCACCACACAAAAGTTTTGACTCGTTATCTAAAATTGACAGAGTTACAGCCTTTTTATGGTGTTTGCTGAGCTGTGACAGCCATCTCAAACTGAAGTGACTCCAAAAGAATGTCCCAACACAGACGAGCTACATCTAATGGCCAGAACTCTGCAGTTTTCACTCATTTACAGGCCAGCGGTCACTCTTTCAGAGATGAGGATGTTCTCATTCTTGATAGAGAGGAACGTTGTTTTGAGAGAGGAGTAAAAGAAGACATTTTTGTGAAGAAAGACCGTCCATCATTAAACAGAGGTGGAGGCCTCCGTTTTCAGTTGTCCCCCTCCTACAGCGCTGCCATTGGCAGTATCACTCCACCCCTGTTAACAATAAGTGTTAATTAGGTGTCGATAGCCATGTGATGTGAGTATCAGTCACATGGATGCAGGGCTTAAAAGCCTGAATTTTGCCTGAAACTCTCAGACTGAAGAAGTCTCTTGGAGGAGAGACGAAACGTTTCATTAGAGAAGAACCCGTCCAGAAGACCTATACAATTTTTTTCTTTTTGATTTTTTTACCTGGATTACTGAGATGCATCAGGACTCCAAAAGTTAATCTGTACATGCAGAACCCCTTCACTATTTCCTGGAAGTTTAATTTATAAAGTTCATGAGGTGTTTTGCTAATAGGCAAAGACAGCAGGCCTATTTAAAATGTAGTTTTCATGTGACGTCACGAGCTCCTGAGAAACGCCCACTGAAGGGAAAAACACGTCCGGTCGTGGAGACGCACGAGTCAAAACACAGAGGATGCAGTTCCAGTCTACCTCCACCAGATGTCGCTGCGGACCAAGCAAACAGAGAGGCCGCCCTGGGAAAAAGCCTTTGATAAATACCCGCAGAAACAGGGCTTGGTTCTGCCAGGCTTCATCCGAAAAGCCCCGGCTGGCTGCCATTGAGAGAGAGCGAGAGAGAGAGAGAGATAAAGAGAGAGAGAGCCCACGAGCAGGAGGAAAAGCGCACGAGACGTCGCAGTAGTCATCCGAAAGGCAGCGTCCATCACTTCAGCTGATGCAAAACCAGACAGCTTATGTTGGAGGCAGCTACTTGACATTAGCGACTTAGTTATTAATCTAAAAGATAAATTAAAAAGACGCAGAGGAGGACGAGAAAAATGGGGCATACCGCAATCCCTTTCCTGGTGGCTGTTTTGTCCTATTGCGTGTGGGAAAACGCCGAGGTAAGTCCTGAGACAATCATACTATTGTTATTTTCGGCGCATTGCAGTTTGTCCGTTTGATCTTCTGAAAGTCGAAATGAGATATATTATTATTATTTTATTTATTTTATGTCCACACATATATCTATATTGCTGCTACCATTCATCTAGGGCAAGTTTAATTTCTAAATGCACCCAGGAGAAAGCATCGTGTCAGCAGGAGTAAAATAATAATAATTAATTTAAAAAATGCTGTGATGGAAGAAAGTGTTTGACATGTAAATCCTGCTATGTGGCCTTAATTTACTGTCATGGTGAGAGGGGATGTGGATRTGATTTACAGGACAGTTAGGCTTCTCTGCGTCAAGCCTGGGCCTTGCATCTGATATGAGAGGCAGCCGTTTGCTCTTCTGGAAGGATGGAGATCCCCCCGCCCCCCCCCATCCCCATCCCCATCTCATTGCCTGCATCTCTCAGCATCCCATCTGGGCCTGTCATWGGAGGGAAATGAGCTCCCATCCGCCCTCGATGAACGTGATGCATATTCAGTGGCTCCTGTGTGTTCCACTGGAGAAGATGGAGCAGATAGGAAACTCAGAAATGAATGATTTAAGTGCGGAACGGTAAGGCAGGATGACGCATCGCAGCGCACACACACTCACAGATGATGGGGATACAGGGATGGAAACTGTGATCATCCGTTTCCATCAGTATGTGAGGGGAAGAGTGACGAGGGGGACGCCAGCCATCCCCCGCATCCCTCAAATCCCCATCAGAAACTACAGCCAACTCACCGTTTAATGAACTTGACCTTTTATTTCTCAAACCCCCCACCACTTAAATCCATATTTCAAGTAGTTGTGACTCGAGGAGGAGCAGGCTTGGAAGGTGATGCAGAGCGGCGAGAACAAGTGGGGGTGGATGAGTCATGATCTCCCAGCCGGAGCTGCAGCACCTGCTTCTGATTCTCCAAAGGCGGCTGTTCCCCCGAGTTCTTAAGGCGATTTTGTGCGAGATGTTTTATTTATTAGTCGTCTTCCGCGTTGTGCCCCGTTAACAGCCGTGAAGCCTCTCCTTCCATTCAGAAAATATGAATTTGCCTCCTCTAAGAGCCTTAGTGGGATTACTGCTGTATGCTGAGGAGACCTGCCCGTGAAGGTTTACACTGAAGATTACACTGCGAGAGGGTTGACTGGCTGGATTACAGCGCAGTATTAGTCCTAATACAACTGTCATCTTCCTTTTTAATTTACCCAGCATTAATTCCATTAAAATAGAAAGTGGGCAAATGTATTGTATAATGTGTAAAAGCACGTTGACACCATAAAATTAGGGGATAAAAAGGCTCCTAAATCAGATTTTCCAGATGGTTTTTTTAAGGCTTAAGCACACATTTCCTTAAAAATGACCCGACATGACTGCCCCTCTCAACTGTTTTGTGTTTTCTGTTAGTTGACTAATTCATCAATTAATCCATCAGTCCAAATGACTAGTTCTCCTCCGAGACTCAAAATTCACTATTTCTATTTTAATCTAATTGATTTTTAGCGGTCAACTTTGGCAGTCACAGTAAAACACAATGTAAAAAACTTACAAATTAAAGTGCAAAATATAAGTTTAAAGTGCCAGTTCCAACAAGACACATAAATAAGGCAAAGCTCTAACTGCTCATTTCTTTAAAAATAATTAAAGCCTGATTATTCAGCATCAAGTTGTAGGAAAGAACTGCCAGCAAAAGTGGTGAGAAATCCTCCGTTTGAATGCTTTACCTGTTAAAGACAGGTGAGGAACAAATGCAGCACAACTATTTAAAACAGAGATTTTAATATTGACAAACTCCTTTAACCTAAGCAGGTTAAAGCAAAGCAGCCACTGTTCAAAAGAATGTCCCAACACAGACGAGCTACATCTAATGGCCAGAACTCTGCAGTTTTCACTCATTTACAGGCCAGCGGTCACTCTTTCAGAGATGAGGATGTTCTCATTCTTCATAGAGAGGAACGTTGGTTTGAGAGAGGAGTAAAAGAAGCCATTTTTGTAAAGAAAGACCGTCCATCATTAAACAGAGGTGGAGGCCTCTGTTTTCAGTTGTCCCCCTCCCACAGTGCTGCTATTGTCAGTATCACTCCACCCCCTGTTAACAATAGGTGTTAATTAGGTGTCAACGATAGCCATGTGATGTGAGTATCAGTCACATGGAGGCAGGGCTTAAAAGCCTGAATTTTGCCTGAAACTCTCAGACTGAAGAAGTCTCTTGGAGGAGGGACGAAATGTTTCATTAGAGAAGAACCCGTCCAGAAGACCTATACAATTTTTTTCTTTGTCTTCCTTTAACCTAGCTTATAATTTTCATAAGTTGTAGTTAATATTATCTTGTCTGATATAAATGTTAGTCATTTAGCTGTGAACAGTATCATTTAACTGTTTCAAACAGGCTCAAGAAGACATGCAGGTGTTGTATTGAGTTGTCTTGCTCTGGTCTGATATGCTTCCTCATCTTGGCACAAACAGGATACAAAGAGATAAAGATGGTTGGTTTTACCATTTTACTTCAACTATCATTGCTTCAAACAACAGGTAAATCTGATCTGGACACAACACCAGTCAGCAACGGCATTAACCAATCAATCATGGGTTTAGATTCTGGTCTGAAAGTTTTTTTCAAATAATGTTCCTGAAAATGCAGTGAAGTGGCTTATAATTCATTAAAAACTGTATAAGCAAACTGAGGCTTTATTGTAACTGCCCATTAGCTGAACAGTCTTCACTCCCCAAAATAATCCAAATTCATACCACCAGGAGTGCACCGATTGCAGTTTTCTGGCCGATCGACCATATTTTAAAAGTCAGACCTGCCGATTCAGATTTTGTCTGATACAGATTTTTTAAAATAATTGTCACTGTCAGGTGTTATGAGGTCACAATACACCTTCAATGTTTCAACCTTATTTTACTGAAAAACATTGAACAATACCCTGGAAACAATACAAACTTGTTTTAACTGGACACTAGGTAGTGCTCACAGCAGAGCAAAATGGGACAGTGGCTGATTTTCAAAACTTTGTGAAGGTAGATCTTTTCCATCGATCATATCCAAGTATCAGCCGATCTCCCAAAATTAAGGAAATCAGTCATTTACGTAATCGGTACGTAATCGATAAATTGGCTGGCGGATTTATCGGTGCACCCCTAGTTGCAAGACCTATTTATGTGCAATTATTGCATCCTCTAAATCCTGTTTGTCCGACCGTCAGTCTGCATTGACAATGGCACAAAGAGACATTCCTGGATCATGGTGGCCAAAACAGTTTGTCTTTCTCCCAGCTATTCTGAAGTGTAAACAGAACTATGGTCAAATCTAAATACTGCATGCAACCTATTTTCTGGAATAAAATGGAATCATTAAGATTTATTTCTCAAAAACACTTTCTACATTTCTGGCATTTACTTAAGTAGCAGACAGCCAGCCTAATTTCATGAACACTAAATAAGAACCTATGATTTTTTTTATTCTGGCATCTCTGCAGTAGCTACAGTCCAGATTAGGCACCCTTCTGTTAGTTATTTTCAACTACTCTAATACTTTAAACTGCTTTAGCCTTTGAAAACTTTTTTATAACCTGTTTTGTCTTGATGCTGTTGCAGCTRTGGACCCTGTTGTTTTTGCCACAGTAGTTTCAACCTGCAGCTCTGAYAGAGCAAATCAGAACTTAACCAATGATGTGGACAAAAACTGTTGATATTTCACTTGACCTTTTTACAGTCACTAATGTGCCTACTCRAAGTTAATAATTTGTGATACATTGTGGTCTAAATAGTTTCACACCTACATCTTTTTCATTGCGATATACTTAAGTCTAAACAGTTTCCACRTACCTGTGTTTTAGCAGTACTCTGCAGTCATTTCAACAACCGACAATGTTACACGTAGAGGACATATTTCTATTATAACGTAAAATATCAATATATCTAACTTCTAAATATGTTTGTACATAAAAGTCAATAGGAAAACATGATAGCTATGAGTCTATTTAGGATTTATGGTGCCCGACTTTAYGCATGAGCATTAATTACTAGGGCTGTGTATTGGCAAGAATTTGGCGATACGATACATATCATGACAGACGGGTCACGRTACGATATATCCCGATATATTGCGATACTGTAAGTAAGGTGATATATTGCAATATATTGCGATTTTTTTTTTTGGCCCAAAAATTCTATTAAATAAAAACCTCTTACTGGAAAAAAAAAAGAAAAACCAAAATTCATTGTCTCAGAAAATTCTATTATATAGACATGTGGTAGCCTTCTGTAACGTGAAGGCTGACTAAAGTTGGAAAAAAGAGCACACGAAACACTTAATTTGTTTTAAAATAAAGACATTCTGACAAATAAGTATCCGTTCGTAACCTTACCTCAGCTTAGAAGGCAGAGTGTGTCGGTCTTTTCTGCTCAGATTCAGCTATCGGAGCATGAAGCTAATGTTTACTCACAATGCTAATGCTACCCTTACTGTCTGGTGCTCAAGAGGTAGAGGAGCCAAATGGCTGGCTCACTGCTGCCAACTAGTGGTCAGAGGCTGAACTACAACATAAACATGAACGGCTGGCAGGAAAGTTGACATTTTAAACCTTAATTAAATATCGAAACAGGACTTTAGAATATCGATACAGTATCGGAAAATGAAATATCGCGATATTTCAGTGTATCAATATTTTCTTACACCCCTATTAATTACTGTAAAAAGATAAATTACTACATTTAGGAAATTTAAACCTAAAGTCATAAAAATTATGTGTAGACTGAAAATATGTTGACGGATTATCATATTCGATGACTTTGATGAACAGTCACATCAGCCCAACTGTGATGCATATTTATCTGGTTAAAGTGTAAAATGTCCTGTCATCTCRGCTAAAACAGAACTTACCTGTCGCAGCACTCAAAGCATTTAGCTAATTAAGATGGGGAAGAGTTCTGCTGCTGACACCAAAGGTCAAATATTCAGCCATATTTAT